AGGGGACGGGGCAGGCCGCCTGTGGGGGAAGAAGGGGAGGGGGCGGGCTGCCTATGGGGGAATAAGGGAGGGGAGGGGCGCCCGCCTGGGAAGAAGAAGGGGGAGGGGCAGGCCACCCACCGGGGAAGAAGAAGGGGAGGCTAATGGAGACGAGGATCCCGATCTTCCTTCAGGTGGTGGTAACTATCGTTGTGGCGGAGAATGACACACCGATCCGGCTTCAGATCGAAAGATCGAACCCTGCAATCTTAGCACCACAGCTCTGGTTATCAATCAGGTCACGGACCAGGTTGACCTCGCCAAGAAGGCTAATCCCTACCTGTGCAACGAAGAACACAAGCAAGAACAAGAAAGAACACAACCAAATTGCAGATGAATGATTATCTCACGAAGTTGGGGTCTCACAAACCAATGAACGGTGAAACTATTCTTTGATAGAATAATCTAAGCAAAACCCAAACCCTAATGGAGGGGCAGTGACTATTTATAAAGACTCTAGGGTCGTGCAAGGCCCCTGGACGCGTCTCTAATGGGCCCAAACATGATACATGGTCCAACGGACCAAAAGACGGTGTCGCAGCACCCTGGCAGATTCTGGACGCTGTCTTGTGACCACGATTCCCATTGATTCCGAACAGCTTTTGACGTGAGACCACTTGGATTGTCTTCCTTATCAAATTAGCTTTCCATCCATATGTGGATCGTCGAAAACAGAGTCCGGATGCGTCCTGGGTGACCAATTTAAGGTAGACTGGTCCTAGAGGCCGAGGCAGACTCGAACTTGAGTTGCTTTGGGCCTCCACCTTGGGGACTCGAACCGAATTAGCCTCGAGCCTCCTTCTTGACTTGGACACCCTTGTTGGCCTCCTTTCCCTCCATACCATATGCCAAACATGGTCATATGCATGGGTGTCATGTCCTCATCATCCTCCCCTTCTTGACAAAAAGCCGTCCTCGGCGTCGATTATGCTTGAAACTGATCCTGCACAACATAAAGGAGAATGAGGTTGCGAAGACAAAGGGAACTGAAATAATTGTCAGAAGGAACGTGACCATGTTTTCAAGTTTCTAGTATGTCATCTCGCATAAAAATTTCAGCAAGCATGTAGACTCCATGATCCAAATGCACACGATGTATGTCAACACTATCTTGCAAAAGATTAGAACTAATAAAAGACAATGGAAGAATAGATGGTCTAGCAAACATAGGTAGCAACCAACAATGCTTCCCTTCTTGGAAGTGAACTTGTTTCTTTGAGGAATATAAGAAAATGTTTGTATTATTATGGCTGCCCTCTAAACGATCATAATCTTGTACAACAAAAGGAGAATTCATATTATTACGAATGTATACTCGATGTATCATATATTGTCCCTTGTTGTTATATTTGCCAATAACAAGATATGTGTGTTTAAAAAACCAAGGCAAATCAGCATATTTAAAAAGGCTCTCCTCCAAACAATCTAGGTTACATAAAATATCAAATTCCATGTAGCCCAAAGTATGTAAAGAAGACAACAGTTTGAACTCATCAGTTTTAGTAGCAATATGAATAACATGTTTATTTTCAGCACAAGTGACTGGTTCCAAAACATGTAAAACTGAAGCATCATCAACCAATTCATCTTTAATACAAGGAACTTCAAGCAAATTATCATGGGACAAATATAAATCAAGAGAGGGTTCCACTAACAATTGTTCTATGATAGCATGGTTTGTGAAAAAATTTAATACATTAAAACAATTCTCACCTTCCGTGAGTGTAGCACCATGGGCATTACCTGTGTTCTCAGCAAGAGTAATAGGTGCATTGTGAAGTGATGATTATGAATTTGCATATGAGGTTGTGAGCTCCTCATTTTCTTCCATGTCATCCTCTCGCTTATGGATATTATCTTACAGAAGGTTAGTCATAGCAAGAGGAATAACAACAAACTCTTCTTTTAAATGGTGCACCTCAGCATATGAAGTCAAAACAGGAGGTGGATTAACAAAGGTTTCTTGCATAAAGAGTTTCATATCATTCCAAGTTTGAGGTTTATCAGAAGGATCTAAAGACTCCCACCAAGATAAAGCAGAATGTCGCAAAACACTAGCTGCATTTTTTATCTTCCTCCTTGGACACATAAAGCGAGTAGCAAATATATTATCTATGCAATTTCCCACTCCATAAAATTGTACCTATACCATCATAAGTCGGTGGATACGAACAAATCATTGTTACAAGACAATAAAAGACAACACAAAAGTATTATCCCTATCAAATGACTACGTGGTTGCAAAGTGGTGTCACTTTTCACGACAAGTGAAAGCATCTTATCAAGCTTTACAAAGTTTACTAACACAAGCTCCCAAAACACTAGTTAACAACATCGGTTTCGTGATAAAAGTTAAAGATTGCAAAGCTCTTTTGTCATCTATCAAGAATTTGTGGAGCTTGGAAGACAACAAAAAGAGTAATATATTTAAGTGTCACATAACTTTGAATTATTCTAAAGTACTTGTTTCGTTGTTGGTCTAAAATGTTTTAAATACAGTGTGTGATAAAGTATAATGGAAGCCGGTGTGTGAAAAACAAGTATGGTGGATGGAAGCGGCAACACAAATAAAATGACTATTGAACACAACTCACTTTGGTCTTCTCTATGTGCTCTCTAAATATTGTTCATCTTTTGTCCCTCTCTTTTTTCTATTTTTTGTTTGTCGTTGTTTTTTGGAAAATTTTGACTTTTTATTTTATTTTTGATATTTTTTCTTTACTTAGGAGCACAAAAGAAGTAACCACAAAAAATATGATAAATCGGTGAAAGACTGTGGAATTTTGAAAACTTGCTCAAAATCGACACAAACCTTGTGACCACGAAAAGAGGATCTTGTGACCACTTTTGACCAATTTAAAATTTTTGAACCTCGACAAGGCGGGGAATGAACGGATCCGAAATTTTTTTCTGATCGATTTTGATATATAGAACGTCGAAATCGGAGTTCGTATGAGAAAACTAGACCAGTTTTAAGAATTGGCTCGAATTAGAGGACAAAATAGGAACAATATGGTCACAACAACAAAGATTTGATAGCGATACAAAAGCTGAACTCTAACACGACCTAACTAGCAACAAGATCGACTAGGACACAAACTGATGAAACCTGAAATATGCAAAGGCTATGGTGCGGAGGGGACGAGAAAAAAACAAGTGTGGCCTTTGGACTATGGGACGACTGAAACACTCAAACTAGGGAATAAATGTGAACACGATGGTATACCTTAGCTCGATTACCACTTAATAGAGGCGGGGATCCCGATCTTCCGTCGGTGGTGGTGGTAACTATCGTTATGGTTGAGGAGAAGAATGACACCGATTTGACTCAGATCGAAAGATCGAACCCTACAATCTTAGCACCACAGACTTCTTTGGTTATCAACCAGGTCATGGACCAGAGTTGACCTCGCCAAGAATAATCCTACTGCGCATGAAGAACACAAGCAAGAACAAGAAAGAACACAACCAAATTGTAGATGAATGATTATCTCAAAGTTAGGGTCTCTAATCGATGAGCGAAACTGTTCTTTGACAGAATAATCTAAGCAAAACCCAAACCCTAATGGAGGGGGCGGCTGTTTATGAAGACTCTTAAACATGCAAGACCCTGGACGCGTCCCTAATGGGCCCAAACACGATACATGGTCCAACGGACCAAAAGACGGTGTTGGAGACACTGCAGATTCTGGACGCTGTCTTGTGATTACGATTTCCGTTGATTTCGAACAGATTTTGACGTTAGACCACTTGGATTGTCTTCCTTATCAAATTAGCTTTCCATCCATATGTGGATCGTCGAAAGCGGAGTCCGAATGCGTCTTGGGTGACCAGTTTAAAGGCAGACTGGTCCTGTAGGCCGAGGCAGACTCGAACTTGAGTTGCTTTAATTAGCCTCGGGTCTCCTTCTTGACTTGGACACCCTTGCTGGCCTCCTTCCTCTCCATACCATATGCCAAACATGGTCATATGCATGGGTGTCATTCCCCAAAGCTTTTCAAGGTGAATATGAAAAGGTCCGGGCGCTGAGGGAAGAAGGGAGGAGTGGCGCCCACCGGGGGAAGAAGAAGGGGATGCCTTGGGAAGAAGAAGAAAGGGAGGGGCGGGATGGCGTGGGGGAAGAAGGGAGTGGGGGAATCAAGAAGGGGGAGGTTGGGCGTCTGGGGCTAGTTAAAAGGATTTTTCTTGCGAGTGTTCTAGGGTGAGTCAAAGTTTTTTTTTTTTTCTTCTCCTTTCCTAGAAAAAAGATTTTTTATTGATGCACTCAAGCCCCCTCTTTAGTGTTTTTTTACACTCGGCTCTTATGAGTGTTTTTTTGCCAAGTGTTTTTAGCGAATATTCGGCAAAGAACTGTTTACCGAGTGTCCGAGAGAATACACTCGGCAAACATAAAAACACTCGGCAAATTTGACGTTTCAGGTAGTGAGGGCCTGTTCGGTTCATGGGGTGCCGAGGCATGGAACTGTTCGGTTAGAAATACTTATCTAATTTATATAGACAGCTCTCAACCAGAAATTATTCCTCCTCGGAACCACCTTAAACGAACGGGCCCTAATTTGATTAATATCATATAACTCCTTTTTGCATAATAAGTATTGAAGCGATGGAGACGAGAAGCACATAATCGAGCAATACAAGGCAACGAAGGCGGAATATAATAGAGAATTCAACACTAGATGAGTTGCTTCGATGGATACAAATATATATGATTTGCATGTTTCTCAGCTTGGCACATCGAGCCGTTAGCCATTTAGAGTGCACTTGTTAGTAGACAGCACACTTGATATCCTTAGCACGTAACTTGGAGAAGAAATCAATGGTTTTGCTAGTATGATGTCCGGCCCGTCCCTCTGTACAGCAGATGAGAATAAGTAACATAAACAGAAATGCACAGAGACAGTGGTCAGCATGTGGCTTGGCACTTGGCAGAAACGTCGGTGGAACGAGCGAGCTAGGTAGGTCTATGCACGGACGCTGCTGCGGCGCGCGTCCTTCGTTGGCTGCTGCTGCTGCTGCAACGGCGAGCGCCTGACCTCCGACGTGGTCCGCCGCAGGAGCACCTCCGCCACGCAGATATTGAGCATGACGCCTCTCCCGCCGGCGGCATCGCGGCGCCTCGACTCCGACCCCGGCGAAGCATCACGACGCAGCTTCGGCGGTGACGACGAAGGCGACCGCACCGCCGCCACCGGCGCGGCCGCTGCTGCCGAGGACACGCCTGCTTTCAAGATGTTCAGTGGCTGCGAGAGCATGGAGGCGATGTACGTGTCGAGGATCCGGTTGAGCAGCTGCAGCGGCGACGACCACCGTGGCGGCGTGCTAGTTTGGCGTCGTCGTCGTAGCCGGCCGAACCTGCTCCAGGCCGCCGAGCCGAGGACCGTCCGCCGTCCGAGCCTGGTCCCTCTGCCTGGCGTCGTCGTCGGTGCCGCCCGCGGGAGCCGCTGGTAGCCGTTGCAGCTCCCTCGGCGCGCCCAACACGACCGGACGCCCCGGCAAACGCTGGAACCGATGAACCCCTCCATCTTGGAACGACGGCGTGTGCAAAAAAGTTGCTGCCTTGTGGGGTGAAGGTGTACGCTGAGTTAGTTGTTTTGTGTGTGTTCTTGGGGGCATTTTTGTAGTGTGGGAGTGTGACGTGTGTGCTCCATTTGACTATCTAGATAGAATAGCAACGTTGAACTCGTAGATGGGGAATTCTGTCAAGTGCGCGATGGAGCTGCTTATCCTGGCCTGGGTCCAGTCGTGCGTGCAAGCTGCTGCGGTGGGATTGACCTGACCCGGTTGTTGCCGCTGCCTGTGCCTGACGGGGCCGGTGGGTAAGACCGAGGGCCGGGCCGGCCAATAACGCTGATGACAAGACGCCCAACGTCGAGTTGATTTCGCACCGGTCTTACCCACCGGCCGCGCGGGGCTTGCCTTTCAATCGCGCACTGCGGGGCAGAGTTGATTTCGCCGGGCGTCCGCGCCACGCATCGCCCGGCTCCCGCCTCTGCCTGTGCACCGAGGTAAGCGGCTGACCGCGACACGCGAGAAGCGAGGCGGATTGGAGAGTCGCCATGCCCGGTTCCACTTCCACAGAGAAGCCCCTGGGTTGGGCTGGGCCGTGCGCGAGCCGTTAGGGGCGGCTGATGCGGTGTGCGAGCCGCGTGATGACTTGCAGGGGACTTGGTCAGTTTGGGCACCCTAGCTAGCCTAGCCTTGGTCAGTTCAGGACGTACTAGCATCGCTAAGGGGCTGTTTGGTTCGCTCCTCATCTTCTAAATCTAGTTTCATTTAGTTATTTTTATCCAAACACTATGATTAAATAGGACTAAAAAGTATATTAGCCAACTAGTCATCCAAATATTACTAAAGGAGATTAAAACCCACCTTTTAGTCAGGCTGCCTTTCACCTTTTAGTCTCTTTGGATCCAAACACCCTAACTAAAAGTGACTAAAATGTCTCTTTTAGTCCACCAAACCAAACAGAAAGTGACTAAACTTTAGCAGCTGGTTTAAGTGACTAAACTTTAGGAGATGTGAACCAAACACGCCCTAAGTCTCCAACAACAAGACTTATTCGTTTTTTGGTAGTGCTACAGGCAAAGGGTTGAATACCTATTTTTGGTCTTCTCCAACAATAAGATCCAAAAGATAACACTTTCTGCAAATAGGTCTACATGAGAGAGAGGATACTCAGATTTGGGTTATGCCTCTCCTGGTACATAAAATGGGTCTTCCATATAGGTACTATGTTGTAGGTTATAGGTATTGTGTTGGAGACTGTTTACACCAAAATTTGGGAGAAGAGCGCGAAAACTCGCAGGCTTTCAAGATTGTGCCAATCAAGTAGTCGATTGCATAAGGATTAGTATCAGCCGGTTCGGATCCGATACTGGGATCAATTCTTTTTGAATGACGTCAGATAACGATGATGAGATATGTTTGGCGTCAGAAAGATACATGTCGAACTCTACAAAAGGAGAAAGATTATGGTACAAGTTATCTTAAAAGAAGAATAGTTTTCTTCGTACCAAAGATTGTACCGAGTGGTACTCGAGTAGGATTCGTTTTTAGGCTCCGGGTTTAAATATCAAACCCCGCTATTGTAAAGGTTACACAATCAATCAAATACAAGTTACTTACTTTTTTCGGCTCCAGCCATCTCTTAGGAGTAGGAGTAGAGTAGATCTCGGCGAGTTTTTCAGCAAGTACGGCTGCATCGATCCGATCGACCTCCACTACTTGTTTGTACGTACCGTCATGGCTTATACTTCTGTTCGTACGGCTGCATCGATCCGATCGACCTCCATTGCAACTCTGGTATAAGTTAGTTATCAATTCTTATTTAGTTCAAGTACGGCTGCATCGATCCAGTCGACCTCCACTGCTCGAACTAAATTAAGATTAAGTTATCGGCTCTATCTAAGGGTGACGTTCCTTCGGATAGATTCATTAAGTTACCGACATTGCTTATTACTTCCATTGTCTATTTAATTACAGCAATATCACTTCGCCGGATTGGTATTGATTTAGATTGACCTTATATCTTATTTAACCCATCGTTTGTTAATCTAAAACTGATCTAATCTGCATTTTAAACGATGAGTTATGTTTTATCGGCTGTTTTATGTCAATCTTGATCATGCATAGTGTGCGGTAAAGGCATGTCTGATCTTGGGTAGATCTATTGGCTAGCGAGAACTGTTCGATGGCCCGTTATCACGGCATATGTGATTATGCCTCACACCCCACTATTAGCACCGTGAAGTGGGGATCGTTATTCGGTAGATTTATTGCTAATAGGGCATGACCTTAATTGTACGCTATGTCTGAATCGGCTGTTTTAGCCAATATCGAGTGCTTTCATGATCAGTTCGCGTTATGAGATTGTTGAATTAGGGATAGGTCGAAAGGTGTGTTAGCCCCATGATCTTATTATTGTATTACGGCCTGCATGATTCTGCCTCATGCCCCACTGATATTAGTAACAAGTTAGGGTCGTTGAGTCTATTGTTGTTTCTACGGCTTGCATGATTCTGCCTCATGCCCCACTGGTCATAGCGATAGATGAGATCTAATATGTTCATTAGATTTATATTTATTAAACGGTTGAATGGTGACGAAACTTTTTTTTATATAAAAAGGGGTTCGGTTACTTACAGTCATTGGCTTTGTATAAATTAACCATTGTTGACATCTTATTGCCATTGATTAATGCTTGTCTAAATAATGATATTTATCCTAAACGATAACCGATTCTTCTTACACAACCCCACGAGCTTTAACTGATTTATTTTTATGAATATGCTGGAATCGACTATTTAGTCGATCTTCTTTCATATCGGCTCTCAGAGCAGCACATTCGGGACTGTCTGGCAACACCAGCACGTTCCGCCTTAAATTATTGATAAACTTTCTCTCCTTGTCAATTGCAGGGTCAAATTGACTGGCACATCTCGGGAGGAGTGCATGATCGACCATTCCTACGCTGAAGCTAGGCGGATCTCCAACTCCAACGAGCGGACCCTTCCGGCTTGCTTGTGTGCCCTCGGCACGGGACAAAATTTCGTGCCGACTTACGTTTCTGGCACGCCCAGTGGGACACCACAATCGTCATGGTGGTTCACAACAACAACGACATCCTTATGGTACATTATAAAGATCTACCTAATGGAGATAAAGATGTCATCGGCAAAGCTACAGAAGAATTTCAGAATAAGTGTTTGTTGTCCTACACCAAAACACATGACAACACAATTGTTCAGAAATATTCACTACCAAGAGTTCTATTGCACGGTCAGACGGATACAGTTGAAGCTGAAGACAGACGTTTCTTCATAGAAATCGTAGACAAATCTGTTCGTGACGCCATATCAAGCCATAATGAAGCTTTTTTGGACACATTTTACAACACCGTGAAAGAGGCGATTCATGGGTTTCCAGTTGGTCAAGTTGGGCTGACTTATTACAACATTTCATATTCGTCGACCCAAGGGACTAATCAAGTCAGTACCAGGCATCAAGAAGCAGCACCAGCTAGTAATAATGATGTCCAGACAGTTCAGGGTTTATCTGAACAAGCTCAAGGGACTACTACGAATCAGACGCAGTATAATCCTCGACCATCAGTGCAGCATGTGCAACAGCCGGTAGGGCAAGGTCAGAACGCTTGCCCCTGTAATCGTCATCTATAATCATCACGGCGATTACGCCGCTGATTACGCTGGTCGCGGTGGTCGCGGGAATCGTTGCGTTGGTTGCGGCGATCAAAATTGTTGTTCCGACCACGGTTGCTGCGGTAGTCGTCGCGGTGTGGGGGGTGGTCGGAGCGTGGAACCCTTGCTGCTTCTTCGACGATTATCTTTTTAGCATCATCGGCATCCGCATATTTTTTAGCAGTGGCTAGGAGCGCTGTGACCGATTCAGGTCTTTTGTGGAGGAGCTTGTCCCTTAGGGCATCGTGGAAGCGGAGACCAGTGATGAAAGCTTCGATTGCCTCATTGTCGAAGATTGACGGGACCTAGATGCGCATCTCCGAGAAGCGTCGGACGTACTCGCGCAGTGGCTCATCTTTGCGATCTCAAATCCACTGCAGATCATATTTGTTGCCTGGTTATTCGCAAGTAGGAATGAAGTTGTCGATGAATGCTTGCTTGAGCTCTTACCAAGAATCAAAGTAGTTCGCCGGCAAGCTGACTAGCCATTGGTGGCCTGCATGGCCGACGGCGACTGTGAAGTAATTAGACATGACATGCTCGTCAGCCATGGCTGATCTGCACGTAGTTTCGTAGAGCATGACCCATAACTCGGGGTTTTCCTTGCCGTCGTACTTCTCGGAGTTTTTCGAGCTTGAAATTTTTGGGCCATATGACTTGGCGAAGGTGAGGGGTAAACTGCTTCAAACCCGGAGGGCCGTGGGTGATATCATATTCCATACGGCGATAGCTTTCATGGGATGCACGATCGTTGGCTCTTTGGTTAATGCGATCGCGCAGATCGCGTTCTCTGGGGTAATGGCGGAGATCGTTATTGCCATCACGGCGATCTCGATTACACCTGGTTGACCCCGTGACCACGGTTATCACGGCGATTGTCGTGGTTGTCTCGGCGATTGTCGCGGTTGTCTCGGCGGTTGTCATCCCGGTTACCATCATGACCACCGTTTCCGCCTTGATGGTTGTCTGATGGGTCGTTGTTGCGCGAGCCACGTTGGTTGGGTGGCTGTCAGCGACTTGAGTACTGACGACTGTGGCTTGATTCAACTGAGGCGGTCGGAGCCCAAGCTTGGTTCGCAATCTCTACGGTCTAGGCCATAGCAGCCATCAGGTAGGCTTGCATATCATCACGAATTGCCTGGATTTCCGGGGTATTGGGCAGTCGTTGCATTGTTGCCATAGCAACAACTATGTTGGCGCTTGGAGTCCTGAAGACCTGCTTTTCCCCTACCCTATCAAAGGCATTGTTGAGATCACATGGCTGGAGCCTTATGCATCGTGCCTCCACTTCTGCCTCGGCTTCAGCTTGTCTGCGATTAAACCGA